TTTTGGGGCTCTCAAGCACCTCAACATAATTGCTGTGATTAAAGAGCATGAACTATATTTTGAAATTAGATACAAGATATAACAATAATTTTTAAATGATTGGAGATAGAGTCAGAAAATGAGAGCTTTTGCGAGTGTTATTTACTAAGATGTTAAAGACAATTGAAGAAGCAGGATGTTTTGGTTTTATTTTTGAAGGGAGTCACACCATAGGGTGACTTAAACTTCAGTTTAATTTATATTTTCTATACAAAAAAAAACTGTTTCATAGCTGCCTCAGACCAACTATAAGAAATGTAGTCATTAGCATCCAAAAAGAGAAAAGAGGCTCCTGGAGCGTCAGTTGGGCTAGTAGTGAAAGTATAGGGTCAGACATTTTGCTCTAATCCTACCACTCCCCTTCTGATCTGTAACAGAACTGATTTAGAAAAGAGGATTAGGAAGCTCTGAATAAAAGCTTAGTAACCACTCATCAAATCTTAGTTGTTGCTATCAGGCTAAAATTATGTTATCTTACAGTGGTATATTTGGGGGGAAAGAAGAAACAAACAAAATGTCATAGGAAGAGAATATTGGAAGGTAAAGCTTTGTTCTAGTTCTGGCACAGTTGCAATGATACCCTGAAAATCACAGAAGCGATTATTTAAAACCGATATGAATTTGGTGTTAGACTTTTATCCTTAGGCTGGTAGGGATTTTTTTCATCAATCTGTTCACCAGATTTCCAGCTTTAAACAAACTCTATATTTTTAGTTCTTTATTGTGTTATAAAAAGCAGAATGAACAAATGAGATGGAGGAGGATATAAGACAATGATATTCTCCAACAGGAAATTCAGCAGTGTTTGGCCATGTCACACTTTATATAGAAAAGCATTAAAGGAACAGATGGAGAAGATTTTTAAATAAAATTAAAATGTACAGTGTAGAGATTCTGAGTCATCGTACTAGACTTTCATAAAGAACCTAGACAACTTACCTAGATTTTGTATATTTGAGGCTATGTTCCAACTGGAAGGTAAAAAAAAGAGGAAGGAACGAAGGAGGTGAGATGAGAGGGAGGGAAGAAGAGAAGGAAAGAGGAAAGAAAGAAAGAAGGAAGGAAGAAAGGAAAGGAAAGGAAAGAAAAAAAGGACATGAACACAGACGGAGACTGGCACATAGACTAGTAAGAGTCAGAGTAGGAAAAAAGGGGGGTTAGGAAAAGGTGATAAGAAATAGTTACAAGGTAAATTTGATTGAAGTATATAATACACCTATATAGAAAAGCCACAATTAAATTTATCCATTTGTAAAATTAATATATGATATTAAAAAGAAATAAAATATAGGAATTCAAAAAATTGAAAAAAGAATAGGAAGCAGATATTGGGTTATTCTATATTCAGTACTAGGGAAAAAAAGGCTTAGTAACAATCCAGTAAACACAACAAAGTGCAATCAAATTGCAATAGTCTGAAGGTTTTCTATGAGGTCTATAGAAAGTGCTAGAGTGGCATTTGAGAGGCACTCAGAAAGTCAACATGGTTGAACTTGGTGGTTTATAAAGTGTGATGAGTGAAAGAGTCTAAATCAGATAGATGGGTAATGGCAGACCTACTAACTGAGATAGTGCTGGCACAGGTAGCAAGTACAATATGTAAGAAATTAGCTGTCAAAGACCAGATGCTCAATAGTGTTGCTGAATAATTTTTAATAAAACCTAAAAATGCCTATGTAGCTTTGTAGAAAACTGATTGAATAAGTAATGATTTAAATGATGGACTTCTTGGATTTTAGAAAAATCTATGGATGAAGTAGAAGATTGTAGAAAAAAATATAAACTGGAGGACAGTATACAAAAGAAAACACAGAATTTGAAGTGTTTGGGCTCATATTCAGGAGTAATAAATTGTTCCATATGATTGAAGAATAATATGAAATGAAGCTGTAAAGAAGTAAGGGCTTTGTGATATAGTATGTCTGAAAGTCAGACTGCAAGTTGTCATATTAATTTCAGAATGGAATCATGGCTCATGAGAATTTGGCAGAGGTCTTCATAAAATTCAAGATCCAGTTGTTGTGGAAGAATCTTGGAGTAGCCAATGAGAAAGTAATGATTGGAAAGGTAAAACTCTGAATTATGAAATATCAGTTTGGTAGCTCAATGAGAGTAGAAGCAAAAAATAACAATATATTTCACAAGGATGGTCAAAAAAGAAATGGAAGGGTAGCAACAGATTTAAAGGATATTTTGAGTCAATATGTGTGAGCTAGCTCCCATTAGAATGGCTGAGTCTCCAGACTGGATTCAAGGTGGCCCCTGAGTAATAACCCTGAGTAATAAAGTATGTTATTACAATGAACAGAAATAATGATGTTACAAAAGTGAGCAGTTTTAGGGAAAGATAATCGATTTTGATACATTAGCAGGGTGTCCAGGTAGAGAAATATTTGGGGGATGTGGAAACGCAGCATAGCAGTTTATAATCAGACTAAACTAGAAATTAAAATTTGAAAGGTATCTGATGTCAATAATAAATGAATTTGTGGTAGTAAGAAGATGGCCAAGGACACAGAGAACAATAAAATAAAAAGCCACCAGAGCTTACTCACCCTCAGATGAGTGGAGGTGTGTGTGAGGTTTGAGAGAAGTCAAAAAGAGACAAGAATAATCGTGCCTTTCTAAAGAGAGAAAACAGAGCTTCCAAGGAATGGTAGTGTATATAGACTCGGATTTGAAGAGGAGAAACTCTGGAAATACAAGCATCAATGTGTTGTGAGATAGATGGGTTCAAGAGAAAATGAGTGAGGAGAGAGGAAGAGTATTTCTTGAGGCTTTAGGCTTTAGGGATGTGCTCCTGGTTTTACTGTCACTAGGGTTGAGCTCACAGTACCCTTCCAGGTATTTTCAGTGGCCAAGTAACTCTCATTGAAACAACAGGGCAAAACAAACTATGGGTGCAAATGGCATTTGGAACACTGAGTCTGGTTAGAACAAGCCCTGGTTAGAAGTGCTGGTCTCAACATCTTCAGAAAAAGACTAGCCAAAGTTAAATGAACATTTTTGCCTCAGTGATAGCTGTCAATTAACTAGATACCATAACACTACTAAATAAGCAGTAATTTGCGGTACTAATTTGCATGCTACTTTTATCCTAAATCAAATCCTTATATAGATACCTATATAGAAATTTTCTGTTTCCTTTCATTTTATAACAAACCTGCTGGTCTTTGGAGTTGTCTTAAGTTTGCACAATAATTTGACATGAACCAGAGGTTTTCATAACATTAAATCTAATAACAAAGGTCACTATGTCCTCTATGTCCTTCAGTACAAAACAATTAGATTTCCTACAGATACTACACTTACAGTCTTTTCAGTTTCTAAGTATATTTCTCTTCTGAGTTACTATTATCAATGTTATTATTTCATACATTGTAAATGTATATGTATGTATCTGAATATATGTGTACATATGATGAAGAAAGATGTGGATATCTTCCGGGAGAACAATCAGCATTTAAAAGAAACAACATAAAGCAAATCTAAGTTTTTAATGACAACTGACCTTCTTCAAGCTAATGATATGCATTAAAAAAAAGTCACTGAGGTTAATGTTACACAAAACAGAACAAGAATGAATGCTATTTGTTTTGCTTGCATATTTTCACTATAATCCTTATTCATAGATAAGCTGTGACTATTTAGAGTTAAAATGTGGTATGAATTCCCTCAGTCAGTGGTCACTACCATTGGGAGCTCAATTTCTCTTTCAATACCACACAAAACTTCAGCTAGATTCTGACTCTGAAAAAAAAAAAAAGCCCTTTTACAGGAGGAACTAATGACCATTCTCCTCTGCTATTCTGAATCCTCCCAAAGTACTGATGGGAGAGATAAGGAAGCCACAGTCATTATAGACGAAAGTTATGAGTTGAAAGGGTTTAGGCTCTATTTTTCCCATTACTCTAGTCCTTTGAAAAATTTCAGTTTGAATAACCCATGTAACAATTCTAGATAAGGAGTCAGTAAACTTTTCCTCCAAGTGGCCAGATAGGAAATACTTTAGTCTTCTCAGACCATATGGTTTCTGTTGCAGCTACTTAACTCTGCTGTTAGGGTGTGAAAGCACCACAGCCAATAAACAAATGAGCCTGGCTATGTTCCAATAAAACTTTATAAACAAACAAGTAGCAGGCTAGACTTAGCTTAAGGGCTACCATTTCTAAATCCCATGTACACTTGCAAACCTTTATTGAATTAAAAATACAAGGAAGTAGAGCTTTGGCCCAAAGTGGTAGAGTGCTACCATTGAGCAAAAGAGCTCAGAGACAGTGTCCAGGCCCTGAGTTTAAGCCACAGGAAGACAAAAAAAAGACAGGAAGGAAGGAAGGAAGGTAGGAAGGAAGGAAGGAAGGAAGGAAGGAAGGAAGAAAGAAAAGAAAGAAAGAAAGAAAGAAAAAGAAAAGAAAAGGAAGAAAGAAAGAGAGAGAAAGATTGATTTATCCAGGTGCAGGCAGCTCACAGCTACTAAGGAGGCTGATATAGGAGGATTGGAGTTCGAAGCCAGCCCGGGCAGGAAAGTCCATTAGACTCTTATCTCCAAAGAACTTCTCAAAAAAGCCAGAAGTGGTGCTGATACTCAAGAGGTAGAGCCCTTGCTTTGAGCAAAAAGATGCTCAGGGACAGTGCCCAGGCCCCATGTTCAAGCCTTAGAACCAGTAAAAAGAAAAGAAAAGAAAAAAATAAAAGGAAGGCACTCTATGGCAGGTTGGATAATAGGACATGAAGCACAGACATTTTTTTTAAAATGTAGGAATATCATCAAAATAACTTCCTATTGATCCCTTCACAATAGCCCTGAGCATAACCACCAATTTTTAGGCTTATGAAGCACAATCAGGATTGCTGTATATGATAAGCACAAAAATGACAATGCACCATGATCACTGCTGTAAAGGAAGTAAGTGGGAAGAAAGCTTCCATCATTAGTAACAGCTGTATGTGCTGTAACTTACCAATCTTGTACTGCATTGAAGGACTCTTCATTGGTAATGTCATACATTAAAATGAAGCCCATGGCCCCACGATAATAGGCTGTGGTGATGGTCCTGTATCTTTCCTGGCCTGCTGTATCCTAAAAAATAAAAGAGAATCTCTTAGAAATAAGGCAATACATCTTTGGCAGTGATTAACAACTCCAAAAGATGTTTCAAGAGATAAAAACACAAATGGAATGCACAGCTATCTATCATTTTTAACCTTATTTGCCTTATGATTTTATATGGAATCCCTGCAATACTCTAAAAAAACTTTTATTTTAGTAAAGATGGAAACCCCATTAAAGAACATCTAACTATGGAAAATAAAAATAAAGATGAGATTTACCTAAAAATCTGTGGCTTGTAGTTTCAAGCCAGAGAAATGTATTATTTCCATCATTGTGTGTTTATTATCTGTCCACAAATACAAGCCAATGTGGGAGAAAAGAGAAGCTTTAGAAAAAAAATCTCCTTTTAAGGAGCTTGTGGCTCAATTTCAGCTTATACAAGTGTAAAATGAGAATGAAAACACTAGCTTTGTGGGGATGTTTGAGTAAGGTAGATCTGAGTTTAGCTCCTGTTCTCCTGTTAGGTAGCTGGGGAGCACATATACAAGTTCCTAAGTCTCCAAACTAGACCCCTCTGAAGTTTAACACGTGTATCAGGGTTATGTGAAATAATTCATGTAGAGCACACAAACAATGGTCAATAAACCGCAAGTGCTGGCTGTGGTGGTTGAAATGTGGAGAAGGGATAACTCAAAATGGGAGATAATAGCCTACAAAAATAGCCTCAAAAAGAGAGTGTACATAACAGTTAAAATTGGGAATCAGAGACAGACACATGGAAACGGCTCTGTTACACTCCATGGATAATTGTGCTAAACAAATGATTCCTTGGGGGAGGGACATACAAAGAAACAAAAAAAATCATCTTATAAATATGTTAGAAATAATCGCAAGACAGGAAAACCATTTGGTCCTTATCTTGGGGTTCATTTCACCTAACATCAACGTATTTGACCGTTTCTGCGTGTCTCAGACCTATACTAGTTGTCCCTCCCCCACGATATAACCTGTTTTCCCTGTAGTTGATGTTGGTATAATTTGTGGAGGGGAAGGGTAAAAAAATTGTTTAAATAGGGATACAGGTGGGTCCATTGCAACAATGAGATGTACAAGATGTTATGTCGAAAAACGAACTTTACAACTTTGGTGGGGGGGGAGGGAACAAAGGAGGAGGCAACAATGCTTGATAAGAAATGTACTCATTATCTTGCCCATGTAATTGTAATGCCTCTGTATGGTATTTTCACAATAAAAAAATTATTCCTTATTTCAACCTGAGGATCTGAGGTATCATTTCTAATCCAAATGTTCTTCAGCTTTCCCTTTACCAAAAGCCTTGGGGACTGGGGTCTGGCTTCTCTTTCTTACGATGCTTTAGGTGCTCATTACTTTGGACAAAATGTGATTGTCCTTCTACTTAAGTCTGTGTCCTCTTCCTTACTTATCCCTGAAATGCCTCCTTTGTCTGCAGAAGGCATCTCAGCAATTTCTCCATTCCCAAGATTTAGAGGCCTAATGTGTTGGATGACACAGAAAGAGCTCCCTTTACAATGAAAATGAAATATCAGGAACCAGTGTTACCATGGACTCAAGCTAGGTATGTTCTTAACTCTCAGGCTTTCTCCTGTTTGGATCCTTATACTCCAAATGGCAAACAGTGAGAAGCTTAAGGTTGCTTACAATGCCTAATTTGTGTGACATATCCTATTTGGTTCCTATAAGTTCAGAGAAAGATGATGAAAGAGGTTAGGAATCAGTGAATGATCCTGAGACCATGTGGGCTGCATAACAAGTTGGATAAGAAATGAACTTATTACCTTACTTATGTAACTGCAACCCCTCTGTACGTTACATTGACAATAAAAAAAGGAAACTGAAAATTAGCTAAGGGTATTACTTTTCATCAAGCCAACAATAATGGATTCTACTGTTAGATCAGAGGACATCCTGGAATAATTAGAAGATGCTTGTTAGGTATGATTATGGATACAAGGTTTCAGGAATAGGACAAAAACAGCATATAGCCCTAAAATAGCAGAAACAAAGTAAAACCCAATGGAAGATCTTCTGGAATATACTTCCAGGGTCAGAAGACAAAATAAAAACTTCAGCATATGAAAAAAAACAAGAGGAAAATTCTTTAAACCTACAAAAGATATCGTAATAAATTTGAAATGATAGAAAAATCAGGTTATAACCTGAGAAATAACTACACTGTACCAGAAAGGACAGAGGCTAATATCTTTAATGGGTAGAGTGGTAGTAAAATATTAAACTTATAATTATAAAATGTATTAATAATTATAAATGCCTGTAAAAATTAAATCCCAATCATAATATTAGAAACAAAAAGCTTCCTAGTTACATTCCTATATAATAAATTTTACCAGGCAGGAGGAGTTCCGGGAAGATGGCGGAGGAGAAGCTGGAATCTGAACAAGCTCTCCCATAGAAAGCAGTTTTAGAATTCCAGTGAACAGTCCTAAGCCAGAGAATCACACCAAGTGTGCCATCACAGGACAGAGAGTTAGGCAAGAGAGGGGAAGCCAAGGCAAGGAGACACATCTGAGCGCTTGCCAGCAGCCGCCACGGTGGCGCCAGGGTTGCGGTGGCGACCGCAGGGCACCCAAACCTGAGCCACAGAGAGTCCGGGACGAAGGAGCCAGATGCAGCGGGCGAGCGGATTCTACTCAACACCAGCAAGAACCAACAAGGAGAGGACATCTTCATCCTGCAGTTTGCAGACCAGAGACGACCCAGGATCCAAGACTCGGCGTGAGTAGAAGCCCAACATCCTCACTCCTTCTCAGGGAGCAGAGGAGGGAAGGC